TGAAACGTAGCGATCTGATTCAGCAGGAGCAGGTTTTTGATTTTTTCATCGTTTTGCAGCTTTCAAAGCAGTCTTTCTTTGGCTGATATGAGTAATGCACAACTCTGATCTCCTACCAGCTTCTTTTTGAGGATGAAGAAGATGTTAGAAGGTGTACCCCGGCTGCGTTGCCTCCGATGATGTTAAGTTTGGCAGATCGAAAGCCATATTACGAGGACCGGAATGGTATAGTAAAAAATGCACTTGAAGAGCACACGAATTACATTGAAAACTTTTTGTCGTCTTGGACAGAGGATGAAAAATTGGTCAGAATTTTACTTTATATAGGGAGCTAGTCAAGAAAAGTCTATGTCTGACTTTCACCAGCAAGTTTTTATCATATTTGCCAAATAAAATTGTTTAGACATTTCGCGAGCAAATTGTAGTTTACGGGAAAAATTTTGCTGCGATCGCTGAGTTCTTGGATCGGAAATCTGTAAAGGACTGCGTTCTCTATTATTACTTGTCAAAGAAAAGACAAAATTATAAAGGGATGATTGGTAAGCGGCGCAGAAAAGCTGCAAAGTATTATCGTCCTCCAATCATGCCAAGGTTAGAAGAAGTTGCTCAAAGGGCCCCACCTGATGCAATTTCTGTGAATGGTTAGTTTTAATTTTTTTTAATTGACATTACGTGCTTATGCCGTTAAAGAATTACAAATTGAGCTTCATATTATGAAGTGCTTTTCGCTTCCATTTAGTGAACGGCCCGAAAGAGTATGAGTGTTGTTTATGTCATTCTAAAATCGATGCCGGGGCAGATGCAGGACGCGTTTTAACACGTGCCTCTTATGAGACCCATGGCGTCGATTCAACTCACTCAATTCCATCAGATGTACATATTTGCCAAAAATGTCGGTTGAGGGCAATCAAGTCTAAGTCCTCTGCGTAAGCTACTGAATTTTTTTATGATTTCTGTTTTGTTTTCTAGTGGAACAAGTATTTTTTTGTCACTCAAACTGATTAAGAGATGGAGGATTGTTTTGAAAATTGCTTGTTTACCCTTTTTAGGCGGTGTCAAGTAGGGACCTGTCATAATGCTAGGAGGAAAGTTAAGGCAACGAAACCCATGCCAAGTAAATGGAAGTCGCTGAGCGCGGAGCACAAGGACTTTTTTATGCATCAAATGTTAATTCCAGAGGATATCACCAAATGTTGTCCCACTTGCCACAAGAAGTTGGCTAAGAAATTAGAAATGGTAGTTTTTCAAAACCTGATAATTTTTTAACTGCCATATAAGTTCTACAGTTGGGATTTTTGGAACTCTGTTTGCAGTATTGTCCGCAAAGTTACTTTTTTTAAGTTAGCTAACGGGGAACTGAATAATGAAGTTACTTTGTGGCAAAAAACTTCAACCATTGTTTGGACTAGCGAGGAGATAGAGACTCTGAGAATTACTATTGAGTCTGGTGCTAAAGAGGATGAATTGGAAACCAAAAAACCAATTGCTGAAGTTTCAAATGCAAAAACGGAAGTAAGTGATGTGATATGTTCTTCTTTTCTAATGCTTCACCTTTTCAAATTTAGACGTGCATGAGATTGTATGAAAACATTTTTAAAAAATTTTATTTTTAGAAGGCTCCTCCTAACACTGAGATTTCTACAAGTCCTGAGAAAACCAAACCCACTCATTCCGTCAGTGAAGAGGAAGTCACCGACGATGAAAAAGAACAGTATCGATTGTGTACAGATAATAAAACAGACATTATTGCCAGGTTGTTACCGTTTTTAGTATAGTCAATTGTTATACCTTTATATGTTATTTGAAACTGTTCTTGTTGATAATATTCAGAACGAGTACTAATGTGATCTGAAAAACCCTCTAGAGTTCTCTACGAAAGCTTCTTAATGTTGTTACAACGTTTTTGTTCTTTTTCTTT